CTTTGTTCCTGCATCTTTGTTTCTCCACCTGCACAGCAAGAAATATATGAGAATAAGTTAGTAGTGGTAACATTCTACACCTTCAAAGTCTTTTGTAGTAGTATGAAGTGTAGTTGCTTTTGGATTAATACTAAAATAATTATTTTTAAAAAAGAAAATGTAAACCAGTATGTGCTAATCTGAGACATTGTTTAGGCTGTGTTTGAGATTCTGGTGCAGTCCATACCATTTGAGATTTCAATTTGACTTTAAATGCATGGTATACTTGTAGAACTGACAGGATTAATAATAGTATATTTGGGAAGCATGAACAAATGCTTTTCTAAGAAGTTGTGGTTATGAACTGGTAACTTACGATTTCCAGTATAATTTAAATTCTTAATGCCAGTGAAAGTGATAGCCTTGTTCTACACTTAGGCACACCCTGCTGGTCATGGCGTGAGGCTGCCTTAGGGCTGATTATGAAGATATTTTCTCAAGATATTTTTCAATAAAGTCTGTTAAGTTGCAAGTAGAAGGATTGGCTCCTCTCCCTACTGTTTTTACAAAGAGAGAGGATTTCGGTGACATGAGGCTGCAGCTACAAAAGCATACATGCAAGAGGCATACTAACAGCACTGTTAGCGTACTTGCTGACCTGATGACTGCAGTCCCCAGAAATAAGGGCTTAGAAAAAGTATAGAATTGTGAGGAAGTAAAAATCATCCACAGTTGCTGTCTGTCTGAACACAGGAGAGTTTCACGTGGGTGCTGCCATACCTTTCTTTTATTGTCACAGGTGAGACAGAGTAAACGACAACTTGTAGTGGATTTGGATACTGGTGTCTAATCTCAGGTTTACTGAGATTAGAGCTTTTACCTTACTTGACTATTTCACACACTGATGCACTTGCCCTCCCTCCAAAGTCACATTGACCAGGTCCCAGCTTCCCACAGAGGAGGTGGCCACTGGTCCAGGAATGTTGGGCAGAAAGTCATGACTGTACCGTGCTGTGCAGCTCTTTGTGGGTACCAGTCTCAGGTGTCACTGGCCAAGATCCCAGGGCATCTCCAGGCATATTTCTCTGTGGAGCTCCCCCCGGGCTTGGTTTTCTCCATCTAAATAGACTATATGCAGAAACAAAACCCGTGATTTGCCTCCTACTTGGTGGCTCTGCCTCATGTCCTTTATTGAGTGGAGAGTTCAGCACATACCATTTCTGTTGAGGCCAGGTGTTACCAAACATACAACCAACCCATACTGGTTGTAGTTAGCAATCAGGCTTGCGCTCGGGAGTTCAAAAGTCCAGTTTTCGACATTATACACACAATTACCTGTCAGCATTTACCATCTAAGTGGTCTTTCACCTACCATGCTTATCCAACACTGATGTTACAAAATAAGTGCATTTTAAGATGTCACATTTTGTGGAATAAGATTCAGTTGCTCTCCTTCCAGGCTCGTTTGTTCTTCTCAGTGGCACAAGTTTGGCTTAGTTAAAATAAAACTACAAGTATAGTGCAGATTGGCTCTACCCCTCCTGCAACAATGTTGGTTTTTATTATAGATGAAGAAAATTTTGTACAGGGCCAGGGGCTCATATAAATCATGACCCCAAAGTTAGTTTTCTCCTTTGCTTTTAAATAACTAATAGATCTTTAGCCAGTGAGTATAATCAGTCCTCTCTATTTCTATTTGCTGTATTATTGACTGAAAGTATTTGTCAGAGGAGGTCATAGTCCAGTCCAAGGAAAGATTTGAGCAGGGATGACTGGATGGGAGACTGCACATTGTGGGTTCCCTTAGTCCTGTGTGGGAAGGCTTCAGTGAAAGGAGGGCAGAGGTGCAATAAAACACGTGCATAGTGAGCCTGGCACATGGAAACGGAAATTTGACTTGCAGTCCACATATGGCTCAACTCTGCGCCCATGCTGCGTGAGTGCAACATATCCAGGAGGCATCCGAGCTGTTGTGCATTCACAATGCATTTTTTTCCTTTGGTTGTATCCTGTAGTTAAGTATTTTGTCCAGTGGGCTTCAAGACATCAAAGAATGGGCATGGGATATTGCTTGGAAAGACTGCTGGATGTCTGGGCATCGCAGACACATACATCTCACTGAGCAAAGGTCATGAGGGCTGAGGCACCCTTCCTGTTGCTACTCAGCCCTCCCCCCAAAATCTCTGTAGGTAGCATTTCTGTTTTTAGGAACCGTGAAAGTGTCAAACCCTAGTGGATAGTAGTGCTCAAAAAGTGCTTGAATCTTGAAACTAAGTTACCAATAATTTAAACAGATTCAAAAAATGCAACTTGGGTAAGGACAACAAATTGCACACCGCTGCCCCTCCAGTCTTTAGTTTTATTTGGTACAGGAAAATTGGCACAAGTAAACACGTGCTATTTTCTTGCATTCACAGCCAATTGAACCCCACACAGAATTGAAAGTATGGTATGCTGCCGATTATGCCAAATTTATGGAAGCTTCTGCAGTCTTCATTAAAGAAGAATCTGATGTCTGTCCTTTGCCTCCAGTAGCAGTAAGTACCTCTAATCTGCATTCAAGCCGTCACCAGACACAGTAAATTACAGTTTGTTTACATGCTTTCTCTGTTTTTGTAACTCTGGTAATGCTAGGGTAGACCATAGAGTAGTTGGCTAACACAAAGTCAAGAGCAATTTTAACCAAACAGCTACTCAGGGAAAGGCTGCTCTTCCTCTCCTGTGTTTGTAACCCAATGGAGCCATTAGATATAGCCAGAAGTAGGTGGCACCGGTGGGATGTGTTGGAAAGACTTAAGATTGGCACTAATTTGTAGATTACCAAGGTGACCAGCCTCAGAGTTCTTTCACCAATTCCCCCGGTTGGTCAGATAATGCACTGTATGATAGCAGGAATCCTTAAGCTGATAGAAAAAGTTTGTTAAGTGTTGAAAACATGGCTGTGAAGATTATAACTAAGCTAGAAGGAAATGTTAAACGGGGAATACAAATGAACCAGGAATTCAGAGGTGCTCCAGGAAGGGAAGTAACCTCGTTGCTGCTTTTGTGTACAAGGCCTTCAGAGTATATCCCAGAAGGAAGGTGCGGGAGAGCCACAGCATCAGACACAGATAAGAGAGAGGAGGGCTCAATCTGTAAAGCCAGAGTGGACATAGTGTCACCATGCTCTCCAGAGCAAGCTAGCCCAAGAGCAAGGGAAAGTAAGGAGAGTTTATCAGAAGCTTATGTGAAATGTAGAGACAGCTAAGGAAGTACATGGCCGTGTATTACTTAGAAGTACGTTTCATCAGTGGCTGGGTGTTTTTTGTAATTGTTTCTCATTGGAATTTTTAGAATGTCCGTATTTAAAGTGAATTCAACTGAATCTGGTAGAGCTCTTACTTCCACAGAAATAATACTTCCAAATAATGCATTGCTTGCCAAAAAAGTGTTTTAATGCCTTTAAGTCAGGCATCCCCAAACCTAAGGTGTTTCTTACTGAGTTTAAGAAAGTTGAATGCCAAATGTCAAGCTAAAAGTGAGGAGTTCTCTCCTGGAGGCATTGACTGTTGCTGTCTGGTAAAGCATGGTCAGCCCAAAACACAGGGAAATCCTATATGGCTAAACTACATTTGTGTGCAGAAACCCACCCAATTTTTGTATGGTTGCAATAGCAGATAAAATAGGTCAGTCTAAGATAAAGTACAATTTGCAACTGCTTTTATGAGTAATTCCATTAAACAAACACATGTAGAGAGTTTGAAAACACAGATAAACAAAGGTGAAGGACTCCGGTCTGTTACAGTAAATGCTAAACAAAACCAGGGAAATCGGTATTTAGCCAACCATTTTTTTTTTCCTTCAAGTTTGTAGACTCCTAGAGAGAACCCATTTCCAGTTGAACAGCTGTATGGTAGTTCATTGAAGTAAATATAGCCAAGGACAACAACAAGTCTTGGGAAAGCCCAGGAGAAGATGTAGGGTCAGTGAGAAGAATATGACCTTTCCTTAGAATGGCTAATAAGAAAGACCTGTTTCTATTCTCATTGCAGAAAGAGCCCGTTGACCCTTGGATATGCTCCAGCTGTCGAAGCACTTTTGCAACTTTCGCTCTGCTGGAATCTCACCAGTGCATCCATAAAGACCGAGTCCTTACCACCAGGTTCAGACCACCAAATAAACTGGGACCTGTAAAAGCAAAAAGCAAACTCAAAGGGAAACTGAGAGGAGCGGCGTTAGGCAAAAGCATTGCTCAGTGCTTCGGGACCATTTCCTGTTCCTCTGCTGCAAAGCTTAGCTGTGCCAGCTCAGGAAACGCTTGTGATGCTCTTGTGAGGTTTATACCTAAATGGAGAAACTGCCGGTCTTCACTGTTGAAGGGAAGAGAAGTGAAGCAGCCAGACAGTTACCCTTGCCGCCTCTGTGGGAAGATATTTGATTCCATTGACAAGCTCACAGTCCACACTTACGTGCACAAAGGGGAGCGCCCCTACAAGTGTTCACAGCACGGATGCACAAAAGCCTTCATTTCCAAATATAAACTGCTCAGGTACAGCTCTGAAGGAACTCCTTTTCTGGTGGGTGCGTGGGGAATAAAACAAGGACATCTTTTTCCTTTGGGTGTCCTAGTGGCAGTTAATCTCTGAGTTCCGGTTTTTATTATTCCTGTTTTGGTAGAATTGGAGAAAACTAGTTTCCCTCAATTGTGGTGGCTACCCAAAAAGATTATGTTGAGCAATTTTAACCTACTCTATGCTTTATGATTAACGCCTCCCCCGCTAAAAAAAGTTAGGCTTTTACTAATAATCTGACAAGTTGTGAAAATGCCTTCCTTCAAGAGTGCCAGTGTTTTCAAGTCTTGAAGCTGCAAGAGTAAATGTACTGCAGTAAATGTAAACACAAGTAACTTTTTTTTGTTTTTTTGTCTTAGGCACTCAGCCACTCATTCTCCACAGAAATCTCACCAGTGTGGCTACTGTGAAAAGACCTTTCACAGGAAAGATCATCTAAAGAATCACCTTCAGACTCATGACCCTAACAAGATGGCCTTCAAGTGTGAAGAGTGCGGCAAGAAGTACAACACCAAGCTAGGCTATAAGAGACACTTGGCTCTTCATGCAGCCACCAGTGGGGACCTTACCTGTAGGGTATGTGCCCAGGAGTTTGGCGGTACTGAAGTTTTGTTGGAACACCTCAAAAGCCATGCAGGGAAACCAACTGGCAATATGAAGGAGAAGAAACACAAGTGTGACCACTGTGAGCGTCACTTCTATACGCGTAAAGATGTGCGGCGTCACATGGTAGTTCACACAGGCTGCAAAGACTTTCTGTGCCAGTTTTGCGCCCAGAGGTTTGGGCGGAAGGACCACTTGACTCGCCATACTAGGAAGACTCATCCACAAGAACTGCTGAAGAGCAGGCTGCAGAATGGTGACTCAGTGGGTCTCCTTGACCAGCTTTTTCCATTCAGACTGAAGGAAGATGCCACCATACTATCCCCTTTTCCTGAAAGGGTCTCTGTCCAGAATGGGATTTTGAATAGTTCAGAGTCAGAGGAATACAACTGTTCACATCTTCATTCCCAGCCAAGCATACAAACTGCTCTTCCTCTTGAACCTTCTCCTCATTTGCAAAGGATGGGCTGTGCAGACAGCCTTCCAGCTGTCCATCCCACACCATGCTCAACCGCCGTTCCTGCCAGCCTGAACCTTCAGCAGCCTAATAAATACGACCTTAGTTCTACCTCATTTGCAGCAGGACCCCTCAAGAATCTACCGATAAAAGTGGATGTTAAAGGTTACAACGTGCATCTTCTTGAGGACCTGCCATTACCAGAACCTCAGTCTCTCCACAAAATCAGTCTGGAAGAAGCTTCCTCAGGGCCTGTTGGGGATACTAACAAGTACCCAGTGCACAAGGAGACAGAGGCAGCAGCTGAAACTACAAGCCTGCCTTTCATGGATCTCACTCATGTGATGGGTTTCTGGCAGCTCCCACCAGGTGATAACCAGAACACTATTGGGGACGTCACAATGGCGTTTGGTCCAGAGGAACCGTCACACAGGCTGAATGGCCTCGGCCAGCAGCAAGGTCTTCAGCTAGCAACTGGTGGGATGGCCATAAACCAGCTGCATCATCTTCCTCGCTCCTTTTCATCCACTACAAATTCTGTAACTTTGCCTCATTTTCACCATGCCTTCAAATAACTATCATCACCATGGTTTTTTCGTTGATTTTTTTTTTTCCCCTTCTTTTTTTAAGACTGTGCTTCTTACTTAAATCTGTTAGGAGGGGGTGGTTTTGGTTTTGTTTTGTTTTTAAGAAAAACTGCCCCAAATGTTTTCAAAGCATGTTATGAACATGGTAGTTAAATTCAGGATGTTAATAAAGCAGAAGCTCTATTTTTCATACTACTATTAGTTTTTTAGCATATGACAATAGTAGAACTAACACATTTCCCTCAACACCCTCTATGTTTTTGTTTCTTACCTTTCACGCAAAGAACTGAATAAATATCTTCAACGATAGTAAAGCATCATAACAGGCACAGTAAAACTATGGCTGCTGTGGTAGGAGAAATAGGGTTAGGGTGAATGGAAGAAGGGGGAAATCACAGAAAAATTATTTTAATGAGCTGTAAATCACAGCAAATTTTATACACATGGCAAATGTAACACGATTTAGCAACATCACATAGATTTCTGTTAAGCACTTCAGTAATGAACTTTACGAATCTTTAATTCAGAATCATTCCAAGAGTAAATTTTTTACCTCCTTGTTTCACTTTTTTTAAAATGAAGATCACTATTGTGCTGATGTTTAAGTAGATTCTGTTTTCTGAAGCGCACTTCAGCTGTGTGCATCTCCTGCGGTTTTTTCCTAGGGCTGGATATAACTACCATTTCTGCATGACTGTGTAAGAACTGATGTCTTCTCTATGGTGTGCGGTTTTCAGTATGGGAAGTGAATTGTCTCAAAGGTTAGAGCAAAACATTAATTTTTCACTTAGGGATGGATCTGGCAAGGTATCAGACAGTGGTCTCTCTCTCTAGTAAAGCACTTAAGCATTTGCTTAAATTCAAGGATATGTTGTCCCGTTGGGTCAACAGCTTGATTGATTTAACACTCAATAAAATACAATCCTTCTTCCTACCTAAGGGGCCTTTGTTCACCTTTTGTTGATAAAAATGGCCTGTGTTTAGTCTGGGAAATGATTCGTAATTGTAGCCATGTGAAATGTGGATTCCTTCACGGAAAGCCAACCCTGGCCTGGAGGAGCCCGTGACCAAGCGGGACCTCGATGGGGCCGGGGCAGGTCCACGTGCAGAAGGGTCGCAGTGGTGAGTGGACTCTGGGTCCTGTTCAAAACCAGGTTATGACCCTGCCTCACCCGTGTTGCCTGAAATTAGTGGGTGTGATAACGGTCAAGGCCATTTTAATCACAGGGCTTTTGCTCAGCAGCATTGGGACAGCTGCAGTTGGAATTCCAGCCTTTGGTTCTTCCAAGTCAGAACCACAGGGACTTCTGTTTGTTTCCTGAGGCGAATTGTCCGTTTACAATTCCAGTTGACGGTGTGTCGGTGTGACAGTCCTATCACCTGGTGCATGGACTAGGAGAAATTGCAAAAATCATATCTCCCAGTAGATAACATTATTAAAAAAAGAAAAAAACAAAAAACCCCCACAAAACCCAAAAACCAACTCTTCACAATTTACTTTCTTACCTAACCTATAGTTATAAAAAAGATAATCCTGGTTTTAGTGGATGATGCTGTTACTAATGGATTCTGTTGCAGCTAAAACAAACACAGAATTTCTGAATCTGAGTAAATTCTCAAACCCCAAGAGCTACTCTTCCATTAAATCCAAAGAGACTTAATAGTACCTACTGATCATTGCAAATATAGCGTGAAGCAAGCTGGTTTTCTTCTCCCCCATTAATCACAAGAATATTTCCAGAGAGCTTCAAATAAAAAATACTTTTGAAATGATTGTTGTTTTGCTGTTAATGAACTACAATGGCGTTGTACAACTACAGTGATCCAAATACTCTTACAAGTTTGTCAGTACTTGGATTAAGGAAAGGTTGTATTATTGCAGTTCGTGCGAGAATATGTTCTTCAGATATGCTGTTGAGGGGTATTTTTTTGTTATGAAAATTTTTGGCATAAGGCAGACTAGAAGGAATTTTAAGATCATTCTTGTAATGACAACAGGAGGAGGAAGAGCAGGTGCTGCGCAGTCATGCCCGGTTAGCAGTTACTTAAATTACAAGTTCCAGAATAGAGAAAAGGTTGCAAACAAAGTTACGTGCACGTTCCACAGCTGGGCTCGTATTTGCATCCGGACTTGGAAAGGTGTGTGTACATTCACTTACTGCATTGTTTTCATTGTCCGTGCAAATTGTATTCACTTGGCTTCACCCAAGCTTATGTACTTGTAAAAAAAACACTAACAAAAAAAAACACCAAACAAGAAAACCCACAAATTTTGTAGCACTGCCTGATCATAGACAACCGTAGACAGTCTGTCATTTCGGTTTGTGCTTCTGTAAGAGGTGTAACTAATTACTGACATACTTGTCTTTGAATTCAAACATGCTGTTAGGAGGAAACCATTATGCAAACGCTGAGCTGGGCTGGCGCCAACGTTCTTTGAGCTGCTGGACTGTAGCAGGGTGCCTGAGCTCTGGGCTGCCAAGGGCGGTGCTGGTGCCTGACCTCAGCCTCTTCCAAGACATGGAGAGATGCGCTGGGGAGAGATGCTTACCGTATGTAACTACGGGTTAAGGACCAAGTCTCAGTCAAGTAAAAAGAAAATAACCACTTTTGATATTAAAATGCTTTAAAAAAGCACATGATGATGGTGTCTACAAGTAAAACACAGAAGCAAACCTTAAATGTGTAATTCTGCAGCTTCAGCCCTTCAGCCCAAATTTCTTTTTCCAGATTCTTGACATCATAAATGTAGAGGAAGCTGATTATGTCCCATCACAGAGGCAGGCAAGTTATTTCAAAAGGTTATGTTTGCAGACAAACTGTTTTGTTTTAAAATGCTCACAACTCAGGAGATACTCCCCCGACTCATCTGATGCTTAAAGTAGGGCTGGACTTTGTCATGGCTTTTGTTAGGGGGACTTCTGTCGGCAGTGTTGAGAGGCCGTCAGTAGCTGAGGCTCAAGAATGCTTTGCTTCTGGGCAAACCAATTCTTTGGAAGAATTTATTTGGACCTCGGTAGACCTGCCTGGTGTGGGCCTGAATATCGCATTGCTGAAAGAGCAAGAGTTTGCTTTTGGAGTGGTGGGGGGGAAGAGCACAGGCAAGGCAGGGCTAAAGGAGAGGTGCACAGACAGCAGCAAGCCCTCCCCAGCTCTCCCTGGGCTTTCTCCAAATGGGAGAGGAGGATGCGAGGGCAGAGAGCCGGCGCGGGGAAGGTAGGATGGACTGTGGCGGAGCAGCTAAGAGACGGACCAGAAAGAGCTGACCCTGCGGGAGATCTTGGGATATTTTACCTCGCATTGTAAGAGAGATAAAAATACCCTATCTGAACTCCGTTTGAAAAACTGTAGAAGGAATGCAATAGGTGGTGGCTAAACAACAGAATTACTGTAATCAAATGATACAGTAAAATAGTGAAACACAGTAAACATTTGGTCGCATACAAAAATGTACTAATTTTATTAAAAAAAAAGGAACCCATGTAAACCTGCTGAAATAAGGAGCTAAAATTATAGTACATGGTACAAAAGCCTCTGCATCCTCTATGTAAACACAGTTATTTTGAGTGCTCAGTTCCCATCGCCTATGAGAAACAACTTTCCTTTCTTTTTTCCTTCAGTTTTACTTACCAACTGTTCCTGTTGGGCCTCGCAATTTCTTTAACCAAGGAGTTGCTGTTGTTTTTCACAGCCAGTCTGAAATGGGATGGTATGTTCTGTGTATTAATGATTGATTCATTGCCTGCTAGCAGAATTTTTAAGTGCTGTTCTTCAATACACCGCTTCTGCCTCTATAATTACATTTTGTAAGATAGTGGAAAATGAGCTGTGAAATCAAACACTTTGACAGACAGAAAATAACGGGGAGGAGGGGGAGATGACAACAACAAATACCATAAAACTTGCTCTAACTTTTGAAGATTCATTTGTGTGGTTGTAAAAGAAAACAACTGTGATAACATTGCACAGCATAGTTTGGTATGTTGGGGTTTTTTTCCCCCCTTTTCTTTCTGGATTGGAAAAAAAGGCTAAGCAGCACCGCTTTAATAGTTGGGCTAACTTGATGCCTGCTGTTTCTAAGAGTCTAGTTCTAGGAGTTACACTTTTCTGTATTTACCTGATCACTATTAGCTAGAGTCTAAGTACAGTTTAATTAGACTCTGTAAAGTCTGGTATTATTGCTGTGTCCAACTACTTTTCATCTTCATTTACTTTATAAACATTTAATAAGCAAGAAAATTCCTTACGGATTTTAATTAAAAGCCTTATTGGAAATTGTTGGGCTAAAAAACCAACCTGACATGTTGCAACATTGAAAGTTTAGGTGCTCCAAGGCTGGTAATAGATCAGGTGGCCAAAAAGTAAGAAGGTCTGTGCCCCCACGACATTTCTGTCTTTCAATCAATTTCTAAAAGCCATTGAAGTTTTTAATGCAAGAATGAGATTCGGGTTTAGTTAGTCTGAACTTGAAGTGCTTTGAAGCTGATGCACAGCATACATGGCCGTTTATCACTTATCAATCATTGTCATTTATTGTTTACTGGAAGATTCTATTAAATACATATATGAAATGCCAAAATGTTGATTTGTCTTGTTCAATATATCAAAGCAAACCATGGGGGTGGCGGGGTGGGTGGGGGAACGGGAATCACATGATACTCGATTGTCCTACATTTCGTTAAAACCATTGAATGAACCAGTGGTAATATCCATCTCCTTGTAGGTAATCATGTAATTAAATTTTGGCAACTGATAGAAATAATGTCACAACTTTAAATAGGACAGCATAATAAGCTTTGTAGCCTAAGGAAAAAAAAAAAAAAAGACAGTGAACTTCAGTTTGCTTATTCGATTGAATGTGGTAGCTGTAGCGTTCCAGGTGGAAGAGGTTGCTTAAGGTCTCCCATAATGCATCAGAAGAAAACCTTAACGCATCCTTGCCGACCAGCCGCTCTATCGTCTATGTGCATTTGCAGTCTGAAAGCAGCGAGAAGCCCTATGCTTGTTATTTGTATAGAAAGAGCTTTTCTGTTTTAGTCCATTTTATCTAAGAAGGTTAAACCTCAGTCCCTGGGAAGGTGAGGAGCAGCTCATCCTGGAAACCATTTCCAGGCACGTTAAGGATGAGAACATTTATTTGCACCACTCAAAGCCAGTTTCTCATGTTGGCTTTCTCAGCTAAAAAGCACTCGGGTAGTGCTGAAACTGAGCTCTCACCAGCCCAAAGTGCTCTGTAAAGCACCTGGCAAAGCTCAAGTTTTACAGAAAAAATGCAGCAGCAGTTGCCAACAGCCCAACACCTACGGGCTCCCCCAGGCCAGTCGCTTCCACAGTTCCCAGGGACCTACAGGACTCGCTCCTGTATTTTGGACACTAGCATGGATGTGTCTGTCCTGGGGAGCTGCTGGAGCCAGCAGCTGTCCCAAACCTCTGTACACTGGCTGCAATTACAACGCTGGCGTCCTAGGGAAGGAGGTGTTTTCTCCCCAAGCCTGTCAAGCCCCAAGTTTCAGAGTTCAGTGGCTAAACCTTGAGAATGGTGATGGTACCAATAAATCCCTGTTGGGGGTCTGCAAGACCCTGCATGATAACTGTAAGAGTCACTACACTGTTAACACAGTCACAGGCGATCTGGGGAGTGGAAAACACCCAGTGAGACCATTGGGTACAGTCAACAGTTTTCTCCCCAAGCCTGTCAAGCCCCAAGTTTCAGAGTTCAGTGGCTAAACCTTGAGAATGGTGATGGTACCAATAAATCCCTGTTGGGGGTCTGCAAGACCCTGCATGATAACTGTAAGAGTCACTACACTGTTAACACAGTCACAGGCGATCTGGGGAGTGGAAAACACCCAGTGAGACCATTGGGTACAGTCAACAGTTTTTCCTGTAGCTGGCAAAGTCAAGGAGGGAGGTAGAGCTGATGATGGCACCATAGACTGAATGCTCCCATGGCCATTGCAGTCTTCGCCACAGTTGAGGGTACTGAGCCACTGACCACCAGCAACCAAGGACAGCAAAACTCTACACAGAAGGACCCTGCAAAGACTTTGAATCTGAGTCTCTGTAACAGACTGTTTGGTGCGTGGTACTGTTCGTCCCACGCTCTAAGCACTCTTACAAGCTCATCTCCCAGGCTCAAAATACCTTGCCAGCTACAGGGAATCAGTCTTGGCCACATTCCCTGCCAAGATCTTCTCTTCTGCAGTCATATGCATCTCACAGGGGTGCAAGATGTTGCTCATCTGTGCCATCCCACTGCACAACTGCACGACAACCGCCTTAAGCAGGGGCTGGGAGGCCACCTTGCTGCTCTGACACAGCTCTGCATGGCCCGAGATGGGAACAACACTGACTGCATGGTCTGAAGACCAAAAGCACCAACCATCATGGTCTGGGAAAGTAAACGTTGAGGAGAAGGAAGAACCTCCACACCGTCATCCTGACATAGTGATTATTGAAATGGATGTTGGCATCTTCCTCACTCAGGCAATGGAAGTACATCCTGAGAGCACAAGACCTGCTGGGGGGGGTTGCGTTATCGAACAGCAAATCCTCTCGGGATGCCTGTGACGGCACAAGACAGTCACTGCCTGCTCGGGATGGAGCTGCTCCAAACCAGAGAACATTTAACACCAAAATGAATATTCTCAGCAGCCTATACTGGGGACAGGAGGAACTCTGCAAGAGTTTTCAGTGCAATCGATTGCTTCAGTTAATACAAAGAAGTTCATACTGCAAACGCTGCAACAGGGTATTGTATATACACAAAAGCAAACAAGGTCCTTTTACGTTATAATGTTGAAGTAAAAAAAAAAAAAAGGTATTTTCTTACTCAAACTCTCCTAAAGATTTTTTTCCAGCAGATATACCCAATGATTTTCTGGTTTTCTGCAGTATTCCTGGAGAGGTCTCTGCAAATCATTATTTCAAAAATTTCTTTGCCATAAAAAGTTATAGCCTACATAAATTCAACATAAAACCCAGAAATGTAGGGATCAAAGATACTGATACAAAGAGCAGTATGTATCACCATTTGGTTATACTACAAATAACCATTAAAATAACTTTATAAAACATCTTCTAAACATAGACTGAGCGTGGGTCATGATTACTGGTAGCAATGGGTGCTAGCAAACGTATGATGTGGTATCCTGCTTAGAGGGACCTCTTTTAGGGATGTGGTGGTGTTAATTTTAAGGCTGAGTCAACAAGGGGAAAGTCATATGGAACAGCCAACATACAAAGCTTGATGCTTCATCTAAATGGACTTGAGAAAAGATAAAGAAGATAAAAATAAATCTTAAAATTGAAGATTAAAGGTTATGGAGTCCTTCATGGGACAGAAGGAACCTCACACCCAGACTGCATATTTTAGGTCTGTATAGATAACTGCTGTTTGAGGACCTCTTAATTGAAAAGGCTAAGAAGTTCCTCCTGAGGACCCCCGTGAAAACCTCTGTGTATACACTCGGCACGACCGATCGGGATAATGACTGGGAAAGCCATTCAATATCAACAACATCCACTTGGAAATCTTTGAGCCTTCTCCTTTCTAACAAGTTTTTGGAAATGAGTTGAGGTTTTCATGTCAAGGCCTGGACTTGCAAAACCAAAAATTTTAAAAAATTCAAACTTTATTATTCTATCAGAAAACTGGATTCCAAAGCCTAGGATCTACTTTAAAAATGCCACCACCCCCTCCTCAAATACATCAGTTTGTTATAAGAAAAACATAAATATGGCTAAATTAACTCCTTACCTGGCCTAGGTTTGCCTGTATTGGCACCTTCTTGTGCTCCCTTCTGAAGCGAGAACGCAGCAGTTGTTAAGGTTGGGGATTTTCTCTGAGTCACTGGTTCCTTGCCCCGGTAAAGGAAGATGCACAATCCACACTCAACTCTAGCAAGGAGCTTACGGAGGCCGGTGAAAACTCTCCAAAGCACTGTTGAAGCAGTGCGAGGAAGGAACAGGGAAAAGGTAGTACCCCCTTCCGCTTGGAAGCCATTTTTCCTACCCAAAATAGGTAAAAGAGTAATAAGATTTTCAAACATCTTTAAAAAATAAACATAAAATCAGTACTCTCCTAAAGGAACTGTTTTCTTTTTTTTTTTCTTATAATAAAATAGGAGCTCACTTCAAGAGTCTGCCGAGTAGCTCCACTTTTCTGATTCCCCAAAGGGGCTTAGCCCTTTGGCCTTGTGTCGAGTGACGGGGGAATAAATCAGCTATACATTTGCAGGGAACAGCAAACCTGCCAGCAGCAAGGAGCCCTAATGACCAGGAAGGGCTTGCTTTATGTATTACAAAAGCTGCCAGGTTTCTGCTTCCCTGCAGCACTTACCCTGGAATCCAGTCGCAGAAGAGGCTGAAGAAATTGTTGTCCAACTTTTTCGTACTACCGTATTCTGTCACTTTTTGTATCAGCCAAAAGGCTCACACTAGCATGTGTCTTGTCGTAAGAGTTTACCAGCTTCCCTGGAATCTTAAGTTTTATATTAATATAGGTCTTTACTCACCATAAACTACAGTTTGGCAAATCTACCTCCAGGCCAAGACAAGCGTGACTGCATTTGCTTACCAAAGCCTGTCCGGTGGTCTTTGCAGCAAAGGCACGGCGGGCAGCTGCTTCTTCACAAAACTTCACGTCCCTCTGTGCTGCGGCCTCATTAAATCTCCGTGAGCAGTGTGGACGCTGAATATAGTCCGACTGTAAGAAAGGAACAACTTGTGTCACCGTTTATACACTACAGGAGAAGAATTGCCCTGCTTTCCTGGAGCACTCGAGATCCAGTGCAAAACCTGGCTCCATCAGCAGGCGAGCGTGGTGAGTTCGCATCAGCTCCCAAAGTACAAACAGGAGAACTACAAAAACCTCCTCTAGAAAAGCATTTAGGATCCCACAATACGTGCTTATGGTATTAAGCCAGCAAACACTAATTGCTTTCAGAAATAAATCCCTGGGGATTAATAAAAGCAGATTTTATTATCTTTGTCCTATTCCCACCCCCAACCTCGCAATTAACAAGTCTGCAGAAAAAGCATTATTTAACAATTCCTAGAGTAGGCAAACCCAATGATTTCAAGACTGCTTCTGAAGATCGGTCATTACGATTGCTATTTGGCAAAACGCTGCTGAAGAAGTTGTGCCCCCCCAGCTGGGGCACAGCCAAGAGCCAGGTCTGTGGGTGTGAAGCAGCGTTGTGAAGAACACGCGGCGGTGCTGCCTAAAGTCGTTTTTGACAGCGTTACAGGCCTGATTCTGCTAAAAGCTTTTCAGCAACACTTATCGCTGGTGCAGTCCTACTCGTTTCAATGAGGGGTCAGTGTTCAGGGTTCAACGCGGTCACATTCAGCCCTTGCCCTGTCCTTGCCATTCTCAGACCCTTCCTCCCTGCCCAGCGCCTTTTACAAAAGCAGCCCAAGTGTCCTTATCCTAATATTACAGATCTTTACAAATCGTTTCTCTTGGTAACAGCCCACAAAAGGTGGCCCAAGCAAAAAAAACAGCTCCGGACCAGCAGCGTGGGCAAAATGGGTCTGGACGCAGGGGAGGGGAGGAGGAGAGCAGGCAGATGCCTGGCTTTGGGGGGCTGGCAGGGGGACCTGGCGCTTCGGGGGAGAACGGGGAGCCTGGGGCTCTATTTGGAGGAGGAAGAGAGAGAAGGGGAACAGCTCTCTCTCCTCCCCACAATCCATGAGCTTTTTCTCCCATCCTGTAGTACAGGGTACGCAGTCCTGTGGTATAGGACGTACATCCTCCCTAGGCCCCTCAGCAACTCATCTTTCCTAAAAAGCAGTTCTCCAATTCCTTTCTCCACAACAACCGCTGTTCTTGCACAACTCGGTTTCCTCCAAGAGGGAGGAGGAAAGGGAGGGGTCTGCTCTTAGGGTCGGTAAAGTCAGACAAGAAACAAGGGTCATTAAAGAATTCAGTAATGGAAATTCAGAGGGGAGCGTGACCCCAATCAAGGAAGGAAGATGTGTCCTGCTCCTTATACTGCATCACGGTCATCTAGAAGAGGAGAAAGGCTGGAAGCATGGCAGCTGCTCCTGCTAGCAGTCACAAAAAGGGAGGGGTCTGCTCTTAGGGTCGGTAAAGTCAGACAAGAAACAAGGGTCATTAAAGAATTCAGTAATGGAAATTCAGAGGGGAGCGTGACCCCAATCAAGGAAGGAAGATGTGTCCTGCTCCTTATACTGCATCACGGTCATCTAGAAGAGGAGAAAGGCTGGAAGCATGGCAGCTGCTCCTGCTAGCAGTCACAAATTCCTGCTCTGGAAGAGAGCCCAGAGAGTCCCCCCCTTCCGCCCGCCATCCCAACGCGGGCAGGACTCCACCGAGCCCCTTTCCAAGACTGCTCCCATCTTTCATAAATCACAGATCGTGAGAAATACTGGCTGGGTGTTTTGGATCCGTAACTTCTAACACGGTGCGCTCTGTGCAGAGACCACACCCGGTGTTAGTAGTGACCCAGACCCACCTTCTTCTAAATGACTTCCCCGATCATTTGGGAAAAGCCATCCCGTGGGAGCGGGGAAGCCCATGGGCACTACAGTTGTTTTGAATGTATTTCACCCTGTTACACTGTGGTACAGCCGGTGCTAGAACACAGGCATCCCAACTCGCCTCCCAAAGCACTAATATCAGACCCCAAACTTGCTGCCTTTAAGCTTAAAAGATACAATTAGTTTTCTCTTCCCCCTCACCACCTCTGCATTACACTCCTACTCAATTTAAGCCAAGAAATACAGCTGAAAATGAGAGAGTATGGAGGGAATTCATGTTCACGTTGCGTTGTGCCGGGGGGTGCAAAACTGAAGCCCAGCTGTAGATAACGAGAGGTCACTGCTTTACCAAAGCTCAGTACAAGAACAGTAATAAGATAAAGTAGACCACAAACCGGGAGTGATGCTTGGTGTGGGAAGAGGTGGAAGAGGGTGGCCCTCCTTCAGGGCTTTTGTGACCTGCTTGGTTGATTGAATAGTATTAATAAAATCCTCATGGTGCTGCCTCCAGTTTGATTTCTTCCCTGGCTGTTTCTGTAATGGAACTAAAGGAAGCCACAAACTACATTTCCCCCTTGCAAGGGACAGAGAAAAATCTTACAGTGAGCGTTTTTCCTAGAAAGGAAAAACATTACAAACAAAAGTTTGCTCTTTTTGAAAGGCATAGGAAAGCTGATTTCACCCTTTGCTGTCTGTGGACACCACCAGAAGATGGATAACTCCAACAAAATACTCTGGTCGTGGCAGACCAAAGGGCGCTTAAGAGGGAACAGAAAAGACACTCTGACCGATGTCTTCCCTTCTCCTCCACTTGTCAGATTCTTCTTCTTGCTTTAAACCTTTGTGCACTTCTGTTTCTTCCCACAACTGATTTTAAAGGACATTTTACAATGGCAGTCTGCATGGACACATGCATGTCCATGTGCATTCCTCTCCTCTCCAACAACGCATGAAAAAATAACTTGTTCCAGTAAGAGCTTAAGCATCTTTCCCTCCAGCTCTGTAAGTAAGTTCAATTTAAATATATTTTTAAACCCTTGAGTTCGATAGCAGTGAATCTCCGTAGCTTCATCTGTGGAAGATTTGGGGCTGCTACTGACAACTTTCAGGTTCAACCTAGGGAATTCATGCACCAACCATCTTAGATCACACTCGCTTTCAGATCTAAGCGGAGAGGAAGCTGTTAGAGACTTGCAGAGTCTTTAAAATACATACGTGAACGTTTCCTAGAAGAGCAGAGACACGTACGTGCCCAGAGTAGCGGTGACACCTACTAGTTGGGCTTCTGAACAGAGAAATATTCTCAAACACGAGCAGCACAGGGAGGGGGAGGAAAGAACTTGGCACCGAGTCAAGCACATATGTGGGACTCATCCACAACATCCAGGCTTTGTCCTCGGAGGAAACAATAGCGTTACGGAATGAAAGGCTTCATATGGAGATAAGGGACACGCTTCAAGTTTAACGATACCTTTTGCGGGGGGCTGCTTCTTCAGAGTGATGATTCCTGTTCCCTGCAGCCTCTCTTTCAAAGAGCTGAAGGGCTTGTGCTTCTTGTTGGAGACTTTCTTGCATATTGGCTCATATCTCAGCTGGGATGCAAAGAAAAACGATCGTTTATGGGTAGAAGTCATGCTTTGTTAATGATGCTTCCCTGTTCAGGCTTTAAAATTACTTCTGTTCAGGAGCAGGGAGCTGAAGCAGTATTTATTTTGGGTTCAGTTTAACTCCTGAAGGAGTTCAGCAAAACTTTAAAAAGCTGTCCAAGCACAGCTGCAGTTCAACACAAATAAGAAATGGAAGCCATTTCCAGTTTGTTCTGCTCAGGGACATGCTGGAGGTCAGCACAAATAACGGCTCGCAGAGAACAGACTGGCTCTGTGAAGAGAAACGGTCCCATCGGACTCCCCACTCCCCCCCAGCCTCCAAACCCGACGTGGTTTTCTTTCTGTCTTGGTTAAGAGGGAGAACAGACAGATCCCGTTCAAGGGGTCGATGTTTACATTATTAGTTCTTTGAGTTTAGATAAGTATTCCAGACCGGGGGCTCCCCGACAAACAGCAGCGCTGTCCCTCCCACCGCCGCCACCACAGCGACAGCCCCGGCTGAAAGGCCGCAGCGGCCGACGGCACGCGTAACCGGACAACTCGGAAGGAAAACTGGGGAGGACGCCCACAGCTGAATGCACAGGGAAGCTTTAGGTAGGTAGATAGCCGGTGTCTAATCCGTGGAAGAGCCACACCTCACAACAAAGGAGGTTTTAAGGTTCAGAAGTGTCTCAGGTTTTAGCAGCAACCTCACTCTTCTGCCTCAGGACGGGCAAGCCGCTCTGCGAGGAACACTGTGAAAGCGAGGACCAAACGACGGCCTCTCTCTTGTACCGTGGATCGCACCGAGTTCAGCCCATCCGCAGCCGGTACATTAGAGACCCCATTCCTATCTTCCTTTGCTTACTCCCCCTTTCCAATTCTCAGTTATTCTTCTCGATCTTCTCATTAATTTCTCTATGCCATCCCCTCTCTTCCCGTAGGAGTTAAGCACCCGCCTGAGCACCACATTTTGGTTAAAGCTCAGCTGGGCCAAAAAGCACCTCATTCTACTACAACACACATTTCTAAATTCTTGTTTCCCTTTGAACCTTTCTACTCCTGTGCTTCAGGCCCTTATCTTCTGTTTCTAGACATTTTTGGCAGCAAACTCGAGAGGAGGATTCTTCAGCGGGACCAAGAGGACAGCAGGTACCTGTGCCTTGCTCCCTGAGGAGCAAACCCGTCCTGCATCATCGGGGCACGGCGAGGCCTGACAGGACTTGTATCTCATGCTACTCAGAGTGACAAGAAGCTTCCCACCTTCCTCAAAACACAGAGAGCTGCCTTTTCAAACGATTTTGCTAGATTAAACCATCACATTCTTCATGTATCTGATCGGAGATAACAAACACAAAACTACTAACACGGGGTAGTTCCACTTTCGTCTCAGCGTTCACAGTCACTCAGCTTCCAGTGTGTTTTTCTTTTCTATTTTTTTTTTTTTTATAAATCAGTTTTTAGTTCTCTCGCGGGGCTGATCCGATCTACCACAGAGCCACAGGATCAGTAATGCAAACTGAGGAGGGGAGGGGTGCGTGCAGAGTCCCCCACCTCCCCCAAAAAACGCCGCCGTGGGGTTGTGCCAGGCAAACTGTGCAGTCACCCATTTAGTTGGTAATCCAGGGATCAGGGAGGTCAGGGGGAATCTTTTCATTCACTTCAGCGGGTTTTGGAACAGAGCCTGGTGCCAGCATTATCCTGTCAAAGGGACTACTTATCAGATGGTTTATTAGTCTATTTTTCCCAGGAAGCCTGAAATAACAAACTCTGCCCAGAAACCTGGAGCACAAAGGAAGCTTCAGGTTAGTAATTTATGTCTCACCAAGAGATAATACGTTATTTTAAAAGCAATATATAGTAAACATCTTTTTTTGGATAGCGGGTAAATTAAGATAGTGCAAGACTGCAGATTAAGTCACAATATTTCTGTGCACATTAATTAATTCTCTAATCAAGTTCATTAATGAAAGTAATTAGATCATTCGCTCTTTTAAACATGCGTTCAACCCATTTCTCTGCTAGCAGCCACGTCCTCCTTGCCCAGTGCTCACCACCCCTTTCAGCTAAAGGCATTGACATTCCCACTGAAAAACAAAAAAAAGAAAAGTTTTGTTTTACCAGAACATCTTGTGCAAAATGTCTGCCACAGGTTGTACAAGGGGCCGGATCTTGACTTCGGGCAGCTGTGTAAAATTCAAACCATGCAAGAGTCCCTGTCACCCAGCACAGGACAGCTCGACTACAGCAGAGCCACCGTTGGGACCGAGCCCTTGCTGAGAGTATTTCGTTGTCGGAAAGGGACATCTACTGTCAGGGGCCAGGGCTCCCTTTTGCAGAACTGCCTCATTTATCGTGTTCCTCTGAAGCACAAGCTCTCCTTTATGATGATGGATAGCCTTTTGTTTTCCACGTGACTGCTCAGGTATGTCCTTTCACAATGACATCACGGTGGGGTGAGGAGATGATGGAAGAGTGCTCAAGTTCATCGCTGCCTAAATTGAGGGAGGGGGAATGGGAAGCAAGAGCAGGCGATCTGCACCCAGATTTATTCCATTTTGTTTGTAAGTGTTTGGGAGGTAGCGATGCCCAGTGATGGCTCTGGGTAAACCGTCGCTATTCCAGAAAGTAGCAGGTGTCACGCTAAGCACGACACGGTTTTCATCCTTAAGACAGAACATTTCCCTGATGTGCTAAACAGCATTCCGGGATGATCTTACTTTGTAGAGGTCAAATTTGTGGGGATTTTTTTGTTGTCTTTAGATCAGTAAATTTTTTTAAAAGTAGGTTTTTGAGTTACATGGCAAGTAATTTTAAGCTTTTCTGACTCTGATGGCAGTCACATATTCTCATTTCAGAGCAGGGACATGACTTGTATTAAACAAAACCAGCTTTTAGGCAAACTTGAACAGTAACAAAGACCCCTTTTCATAAGACACGTCACCTGCAGAGGGAAAGGCTTCTCATTTAAGTGTTCCTTTACCTGCTCTTCCTGAAACAAAAGAAATCCTTGTCTTGCTGAGGAGATGTGCGACTGCTTTTGTTTCTTACCTTTTCCTTCAGATTTTACCATACTCCAAGGCACAGAGTTAAGGTTACGACAGTGCTTCATTGATTACAAACGCAGACGAACAAAGCAATTCTATAACCTTTCCGACTCTTACTCTGTTGCCTCTGAATGTCCTTCCACTTTTGTTCCCTGTCTGTGCTTAGTCCAGACTGTACTCTTCCTTTCAAACATCTTCCTCTGCCTCCCCATCTCTTTTATTCTGTTCTCATCCCCTCAAGGTTTTGACTGATCCAGCTCTTCTATTTATTGATTGATTTATTTTTAACAGGAATTTAGGTACGACCACAGTATCACTGAATCAGCAATGAGAAGTCAGGGAAAACAATAATTTGCCACAGCAGCTTACTTACTTGAGACGTGTACAACAGCAGATGAGTTAAGGACTAGTAAGGAACATGTGCACTGTCTGAGTAAAAGATTGTCCTTTTCAGTAAATCACAAAATCACATTCCACCCAAACCACTGAACAGCATCTGTTACTCACTTGTTCCGTTGAGCTCCTTTCTGGGTATCTGACTCATCTGAATAGAATGGTTTCTCAAATTTCAACAACTTCTGCGTCGCTGTCAAGAGTCATGAGTACCAGGGGGTCAGTCTTCATTACTCAAAAGCTCACAGCTCACACTATGTAATTGCTGAGGCACGGTAATTAACACTTATGACACAGGCAGACCCTGCTTAGGCCTGTGAAACACATGAAAACTAGTACAGGTATCGGCTAAAGGAAAACCCTGACACTTCTTCTAATCTTACAGATGATTTCTACTGATTTGGTTAACACAGACTTTTGAACCATTTTAGAAAATGAAGGCTTACTCTAGATGTGAATACTGGATCGGCACCTCAGTGTTCTGAGCAGTGAGTCAAGAGGCCTGACGAGTTAAATGCCTGTTTATTCCCTTCGCCAAAACCATGTTACTTTATCAATTAAAATATATTATAAAAGCCTTCTTCCAACAAAAAAATCAGTACTTTGAATTGTTTCTGTACATTACAAAGCCTTATCAGTCTTTCTGTTAGCTTGTCTCCATCTAGTATTCACAAAACTATTTAAGGAATATCTAAGGTGCTTTGAATTTACTAGCAGTCAAGCCACTATACTGAAATGTTGACTACTGTGTTCCTTACCAGCAAAATTAGTAATTTTTCACCCAAAGGCAGAAGATTGCTCCGTCTATAGTCCTCAAGACCTAAAGCACAGGGTTTCTTATGAATGCAGAAGGATTCAGAAGGACTGACTATAAATCCTATTCATTTCGTTCACATGTATGGACTGGTCACTATCAGAGCAACTCACATGCACAGTACAGAAATTTAGGATCACACCAAACCTAAAGATTCCGGTCCTCTGCTCATCTTCAGAAAGTCTTTGCAACAACTGTGGTGGGTCGTAAGTTTGTATTTCAATGAAACCAAACTGAAAGCCAGACCTGAAGAGTAGTATTTCAGGAAAATCAAGACAACGGCTATCTGCAACACACAGTATTTTGCTAAGTATCTGCTGGTTTGTTTGCCATACTACTCAGACTGAGTACTTTCAGCAAAGCTGATTTCAACGGCAACAGTGAGGGTCACTGACTACTGAAACTACAATACTCATTGTGACAGATTTTATTTGCTAAGAAATTTAAAAGTCAGGTGAGGTAACAGGGATGTCTACCTACACATGAGCTTTTCAGACACCTGTTTACAAAAGGTTATTCTACACCTTTCATACTAGTACCCAAACAATAAATAACCAACCCAGAGAAGAACTAGAGAGTGGGTGAAAACTCACTTACAAAACTGTGCTATATGAAGGCACTGTATTTAACCATCAGTGTAAGGGAGAGAAGACATAAATGGATGTATTGCTTTGTAAACTGAAATAATTTAACAGAAAAATCTAATCAGATCAAATCTGTAGGATTCTGCTGATTTCCTGAATACATTCAACAAATACATATATAAAACTTTGTCCGGTGATAGCTTGTAAGAAAAATATTTTTTATAATTTAATACATTTCTACTGTAATGAAACTTTGCAATAGTTGCCATGTCACTCATGACAGAATAGACATCACTAATGCGTTGTCTTCTGTATAACTCAATTTCTCGAAGAATGACAAGTTACTGGTTCCTGTTACAGTAATACCTGAATAAACTCCCCTTGAGCATGACTGGCAACACTATGAGTTAGCAGTTCCCTTCTCAAGACAAAAGAAAACTTCCACAATAAGTTCCTCAGTTTCATCAAGACAGTTTCAGTCCTTGAACGTTTTGTTTCAGGTTGAGCAACTCTTTCTCCTGCCTTGTTTTCTCCAGTTTGAAGGCTAGCTTGTTGGCTTTCTTCTCCATTCTGCGTTCCTGTGCATGCAAATAATTACAAATTTACAAAATAGGCATAACATGCAAAAAGAAACCGTTCTAATTAACAGTTCTAGATCATGAAAACAGCAGCAATCTGGACAATATTATTATTTATAGCACTAATTATTAATAGTCAAATTAGTTTGTGTACCACCATGATTATCATCTTTAATTAGCTAAAGGTTCTAACATGCTGGCAATTTCTGCTCCAAAATAAAACTACTAGTATATCATTGTGGTCGATTAGATTTTCCACATTATCTTTCAGAGACTTTTCACTTTGTGTGATCTGAAACATCGCAACTGTTTTCTTTGCTTCCCTAGATAATAAGGAAATAAGAGGGCTCCCTCGGAAGTTACTTATGCAGTAGTGGTCACAATAACAGACCGAAAATTTCCATACCGGAAATTAGGATGACAAAATTATGATGTTAACTTTCTTTCACGTAGATTTTTTAATTTTTTAAAGAAGTAATAATTAGTCCTTTGAGACCAGCAAGTTTTTCCCATTAATTTCCAGACACAAGAACAAGTGAGCTTTAAAAAAAGTCTGTAAGGCAGAATTCAGGCAATAAAACCCTGCAAAAACATGTTATATTTTAAATAAGGCGTACCTTTCGCTCCTCTTTTATTGCCTGTTTTCTAGCTTTGCGATCCTCTTTGCTCTCATCTTTGGAACGGGGCTGTGTTGATGCTCTTGGCAGGTCACTGCCATTAATCATCTGCATGCGTTCAATCTGTTTAGCAGTAAGACCCCTCTGAGGCAAGATATGTAGAGGAATTCCAGTCTTCTGGGAAATTTTTATTGGTTTGGGCTAAAATAGAGAGTGTGTATGGATTAATGGTCCCTAGCTTTCTCTCCAAGAAGCACACATGGCACTGCCTTATCAGTATAAAAGCATTAGATTCAGATTTAACAGTAATAAACATGTAAGCTTCCCTATACTATTTTCTTCCCTCAGAAAAATGCATATTAATGCCAAAGTAAGAAGTCAAACACACCTGTGAACAGAATCTGGCCTCCCAGAACAAGAAATATTTATTTAAATATTACTAAAAAATATTACTAAAAAAAAAGGAACTTCATTAGGTACTCAATATTCCTTTGTATGCTTTCAAGAAAAAGGTTTGCGTTCAAAATCTGGAACATCAAGCTGTACTCCAACGATGGGGAGAGTCTGGAAGGCCAAAGAACTAGAATAAATTGTTTCAAACTGTGGAAGGGAAATAGAAGCCTATTTTCAAGACAAAAAACCTAGTAAGTGGGTGTGAATCACAGATTACACAAAGGTGTATCACAGGTAACAAGAAAGTAAATTCCTTGCTCTCATCATTTCTGCCTAGCTATTACAGAAATTTTTAACTTATTCAATTTTCCTTCTAACAGAAAAAAAAAAAAATCTAAACCTTTCTTCAGTGAAAAAGTAATACTGGAGGCTAACAACCTCCCCATCCTCTTTTCTGCTCCCTCCTCTTTTTAAAAACAGATACCCATTGAGAAAACAATCACTTTTGGCTCAAGTGTTCCCAGGCCAGGGAATAAGTTTATGATTTTCGCTCAGAATAAGTTTAATGATTTTACCTTTGATGGCTCCTTAATAAGTGTTGGGTGATTATATAAGTTTGAATATGTACCTAGGTCACAAAGAAAAAAAAAAAAAAAGCAGTGAAGAAAGGCTTGCAAATAGAAATTAGGAAAATTTATTATGAACAGTA